TATATATATATATATATATATATATATATATATGTGTGTGTGTGTGTGTGTGTGTTTTTGTGTGTATGTGTTCTCTTTATATCGCTCTCCTCTATTCCTATCTCCTTCTTTACCTTTTAACCCTTCTCTCACTTTTCTGCTTTGTTATCTTCTGTGTTTTTCATCCCCATATCCATTACATCTGAAACAAGCCCAAAGCAAATTCTAATAAAATTTAATTTATATATCAAGCAGAGCATTAAGGCCAGCCATAATGCTCTGCTTGTGAAAGTAAATCTGTTGGGCATCACTTTGACACTCAGACAATAATTCTAAGTGTCACAATGCAGGACAGGATGGGGGGGGGGGGGGGGCTCTAATAATATTAACACATGATCGAACTCCAGGTTTCTCCACTGAGTCCAGTTGTTTCTTCAGATCTTGATGGTCAGCAACTAACAGCATCACACTCATCTTCCAAGATGTGGACACATGCTTGCCTTGTTGCCATAGCACTGTGGCTATTCTAGTGTACTTCTATTTCAGTGGAAATCCATCCATTATCTTTACCCGCTTATTCCATTTTGGGTCACGGGGGTCGCTGGTGCCCATGTCCAGCAATCACTGTGCGAGGGGAGGGGTACACCCTGGACAGGTCGCAAGTCCATCACAGGGCCACATAGAGACAAACGAGACAAACAACCATTCACTCTCCCACTCACACCTAGGGACAATTTAGAGTTACCAATCAGCCTAACATGCATGTTTTTGGTCTGTGGGAGGAAACCGGAGTACCCGGAGAAAACCCACGCATGCATGGAGAGAACATGAAAACTCCACCCAGAAGGCCCCTGGACCGGGGTTTGAACCAAGGACCTGCTCGCTGAGAGGCAGCAGCTCTACCAGTTGCGCCACCGTGCTGCCCTCAGTGGAAATCATAAAACTCAATTGCAAATGTGTAAAAAAAAAACTTGTAAAAATGCCATTTCCATCTTGAATTGTTCAAACCAGATAATAATTTTGCTGTCAGATGTGTCTGAGCTAGAGTTCTAGAGAGAGAAGGGTTTTCTCACTTGTTTTTCCAAACTTTTATTGTCTCTTTTGACTTTTTGTCCTGTGTTGTACGACTTACTGCCATGAAGTTACTGGTCACAGCACGTTTCAGTTGGGTTGTGTGGGGTTTTCTAAAGCAGGAGGAGCAAATCAACAATTTTGATAGAAACTAAAGATTTATTGGGCAAATGTTCATTAGGGTGCTTTATAACTTGTGCACTGTGAGTGTTAAATAATGTTTTTAAATAAATCAAAGCATGTCCAATAGGCCTCTGTGCCTCTCTTATACCACAGCGTGTGTTTTGGAAAGAAAAGAACTGGTGTACGTGAGTGTTCATGCTCTTTTTCCCACAGATTCATCCTTGCTCGCAAGTGCAGAAAGCTGTCGGACCTGACCAAAGAAGAAAGGTTAGAAACATGATAAGAGATGAGCTACATGCCCTCTGACAGGTCGCAGGATGCTTCAGTCCAAACTTGTGTGTTTTGTTTAGGCTGAAGAGGATCTGTGAGATTTACTCCAGAGTGCTGGGCTCAGAGGAAGCTCTGCATGTGAGTGTGCTCACACATCGATACAAACAGCTAGAAGCTAGCTAGCTTGTTTAAAGCATTCAAACTTGTGTCTTTCAGCCTGTGCACTATGAGGAGAAGAACTGGTGTGAGGAGGAGTACTCTGGTGGCTGCTACACCGCCTATTTCCCCCCAGGAATCCTGACCCAGTTTGGAAGGTAAATTACACAAACCACCCACCCTGTGTGTGTTAGTGTTTACTGCTGCCTGCTGTCAGACAGGTGAAGGAGGAGCAATAATGTGCATGTGTGTGCATGCGTGCATGTGTGTGTAAATGCTAAATGGACTGTGCTTTTATAGCGCCTTTCTACCTAATCTATATTTGATAATCTATCTGAGGCTCAGTGGGATTAACCTGTCTGAATAAAGGTTGAATGAATGAATCTACGTTGCAAGGACCAACTGCATCTTATTGGATCCAAAGCCCGGGCTCCATAGGAAGAAGTGCCATTGGTGGGTTAGGGGATAGGTTTAGGACTAAGGTGTGAATTGAGGATGGGTTAGGTTTAGGGTTAGGTATTCATTCATTCATTCAACTTTTATTTATATAGTTAGTCTCATTGAGCCACGAGGACTCCTTTTCAAGAGTGACTTGTTTTAGACAGACAACATGTAAAGTACAGACAGCAATATTCAACAAAATGCTATTAAAAATCAAATAAAAGTACAGTAGTCCCTCACTTATCGCAGGGGTTATGTTCCAGACTTCCCTGTGATAGGTGAAAATCTGCC